AGCTCTTGCTATTGAGATAATTCTTATTTCAATTCCTGTAATTCTTGAAATGTAATTATCTATTTTTTCTTGACTCCCTCTAGTTCTGTTGATTTTTCTGATCAGTTTTTGTAGAAATTCTTCTCTAAGGAGAGACTTAATTCTATCTTTTCTTTCTTAAATACCAGCTTTGAATCTTACTTAGCTATTCTTAAAGTTAGATGTATATCCTTCCATCTTTTTAAATCTTTCTTAATGTAGCTCAATTAGGATCACATATATGTTATATTTTTAGCTTTTATAGCCTATATATTTTCTGATTTTCTATTAGAAAAATTCTGTGCTTTCAGAAGTTGTCTAGTTTTAGGTAGGCATATATACTCTATTTTTATAGAACATGTGTTTGTTTACTTCTAGACCTATATGACATATAGTGTGTAATCTAAAGGATCTGTGATATCAGAGTTTTGCAAATTCCCACTTTTTGTTGTTTAGAAGTTTTTTTAAAAAGTATTAGCCAAAAACTTTAGTAGTTTTCATTTGTTCTTCTTGAAACTTTTTCTGAAAGTGTATATAAAGGTGCTCTAGCTTTTGTATTAATGCTTGTTGAGCTGTTGTTATACTTGTTTTTGAAAAAACTATGAGACTATTATGTTTTCAATTTTGTTTATTTTTAGAAATTAGAATCTACAGGAAGAGTTGATTACTTTTTGCCTTTCTATTAACACTTTGGTTTAGTATATTATATACTCTTCTGTATACTTAAGTTTTCCTTCATAAGTTATATGGACATCTTGTAGTTAGATCTTAACTACTTTCAGGAGCGATTAGGAGCATTTTGCTTCTACTTACTTACTTTTTCCTCTAACCTGTGAATAAGTTGAACTACATATGCTATTAACATGTTATCATCTTCTTGGCTTTTCATATTGCTTATATATCTATTGCTTTTTTTAGTTTTTCTCTTCTTGTTAGCTTCTTCTCCTTCCTTTTTCTGTAAGCTTTCTTTCTTATCATACTGTTCTCTCTTCTCATAGCTATTGGCTATATCTTCTTTTTTATTTATTTCAGTTTGTTCATACCACTTGCTTCTCTATTCTTGTTTCAAATTGATCCTCTTTTGCCTTGCTCTATCATGTGATATTTCATTAGCATTAGCTTCTGTATTTTCCTAAGAGAGTCATGTGTCATAATATCATATACTATATCTTCTTGCTTACTCTAACTCTTCTTTATTTTTAAAAAAAACTATAGCGAATTCTTTATTATTTCTATTTGTGTTTTTGAAAATGTATACTGTTTTTGTTCCTGTATACTTAATTTGTCTAAACAGAAGTACTTCATTAGCTTCTCTTGAGATGTTATATAGTTTGTTATGTATTGTTTTTGATTTTCAAGAACTTCTTTTCTATTTAGTCCTGATGTAATACAAACTAGTATATTGTTTAGTAACAGTATAGCCCAGACTTCTTTTTCTTAGTTGTTTATTCTCAATTCTTTGAATATAATTTCTGCTCTCATTTTCATACGGCCTTCTTGAATCATCTCAATATTTGCAACTCTTCCTATGTATATTATTGCTTTGAATACTTGAGTTCTCAAAATATATAATGGAATATTCTATATTGTTATTGTCTTTTCTTCTCTGCTTGTGTTTGCTTTAGGTCCTTCTTGATGCAACTCACTTTTCTTTGAGCCTTCTAAATCTTTGTTCCTCTTATTATAATATTGCTTTCTTTTTTTCTTTAGAATACTTCTCTCTCTATTCTCTTCATTTTCTTAATATCCTATATCATTTTCTTTCTTTTCTACTTCTATAGTAAAATTTCTTGCTTGTGCTTTTCCTTCTCTTTCTATTTTGTCTTCTTCATATACTATTTTTCTTTTTTCTTTGTTTTTAGCCTGGTTTATTTGGATCTTCACTTGTTCTTCTCTTAGTTCGCCTTTTTTTTTCTTAATTTCTTCTAGTTCTATTTTTGCCTGTTTTTCTCTTTCTTCTTTATTTATATTCTGGCTTTCTACTCTTCTTATCTCTTTTTGCTTATCACCACTTGTTTTATTTTCTTTCTTTATTAGTACTTCCTCTTGAATTAGATTTAGTTGCTCATACTCTTTTTTATTACTCTCGAATTTAGCTTTTGCTTTTTCATAACCTCTTTTGCAATCAAAGTATAAGATGCACTATAAATTTCTCTTTGCGAATCTTTCATTATCTCTTTTAGGTACTTGGTCTCTCTCAATAACTATCTAATACACTTTTCTCTTTGCTCTGTGTTGTTACCTAATATATTAATTGCTGCTACTTTTGCTTTATATATGTCTTCTTCTTTATATGCATCTTTTTTGGATACATATATACTTTCATTAAGTAATAAGTTACTATATCGTACCTTGAAGTATTCTTCAAATTGATCAAACTTTTTCTTGACCATATTATTTCTTGGTTTGATTTCTAGGCTGTTATTAATTATTCTAATGTCTTTTATTTTTTCCTTTTCAGTTTTATTATTCTCGTCTTGTTCTTCAATTCTGCTTACTTTTATCTCTATCTCAGCAACTGTATTTTCTTCTTGTTCATGCTTCTTTATGCTTGTTATTGGTTCTATTTGCATTTCTACTTCTATATTGATTGTACTCTTTTCTTCTATAACTCTTCTTGTTTATCTTTTTGTATCATTATTTCTTTTACTTTATCTAGGCCCTTGAGTGTAGCAATTCTTTTTATCGCTTCTCTATATTGCCTTGCTACTGTGACTACTTCTTTATTAATTCTTATTGCTGATACAACTGCTTTATTGAAGAACTCTTCTATTTTTTCTGCTTTGCTACTTCCTTCTTAGAATAACTCTCTTCTATATTTTTCTATAAATCTCTTAGTCACTACCTTAGAATTTTCTTTGTTCAATATATTAGATTTATTTTGCTTTTAGCTTTATTTAGGTCTCTTCTATCTAATGCTTTACTCAGTTCTTCTCTTTCTTATTCTTATAAGTGACTTTGTCTTTTTTCTGAAATTTTCTGAGATTTTTCTTTTTACCAGTAAAATATCTGGTTTTGGTTAGGCATATATGCTTCTACTACTTAACACATGATATGTACAACTTCACTATCTCATATTTGTTTGTTTACCTTAATTATATATGTTTGTATTACTACAAATAATCTATATTATAGAGTATCTCCAATTCCCACTTTTTTAATAATTTTTGATTTTTTCGTAGTTTTTTTTCCTAAAACTTCTTCTAGTCTTCTGTTTTCTTCTTTTTTTCTTATTTTTTATCTTTGTTATATCTATTTCTTAGTTTTCTCTTCTTTTTGCTAGTAACTTCACTACTATTTCTTAGTAAAATTTTGAAGTTTTTAGTCTTTTTCTCTTAGCTCTAGAAATAGTTAAAATGATCAACAGAGAGGGTTTTTTTTGTTTACTTTATACAAATGCTATCAGTAAGGTTGTTAATGAAGTACTTCAAGCTATAATAAAATATATAAATTACTCTAGTTTTAAACCAGAGTAGTTTATATATTTTATTATAGTTTGGAATATTCTATTAACAACTCTAGCTATCAGCTAAACTTTATTAATTTCATAAATTTCAGAAGTGATACATATTGTGAGAGTACAACTAGCTACACATACAATTTTAGGTTATCTATTTTAAGTAGTCCACCCAAAGATTCTATACTAGCTGCTATATCTGAAATCTCTTAGAAGATTCCCTATTTAAACTCTCTAACTCTATCATACTTATCACAGATATTACTCTTTATAGTTTAACTATAACCTTATGCTACTTGACTTTGAAAAATATCCAAGCTAACATTAGTCACAAACTTTATTATTATAGGTCTAGGTCTTACTTGAATAAGTCCCACTTCAACACTCTCTAATAAATAGGTATTACAATACCTAACTATACTATGCTATATCCCAATCTAGTTTGTATATATTCTTATTCAATGTTTGTATAAACCTAGTTCTAGCTGTAGCCCTTCACTAGTTTAGACTTCTTTATGTTTCATGAATAGATTCTTCTAATCTAGTTAGCTGCCAAGCCAAGTTAGTATTGTTACTAAATACAAGGTACCAAACTGCATTACACCATGGACTTACTCACACCTATTTGATTCATACTCAGAAATCCTTATCAAATTAAGTGTTAATTAGCGTGATCATTGAAATCTATACTACTTTACCTAACTCAAGATTTCTACTATGCAGGTCTTCTGCTCATAGATCCTATCTTGATTTATTTGTTTAATGCAACTCCAACATTCTATTACACTTCCAATATCTAAACAATATTGGTATAATATAATTTACAGGATTACAACTCCAGAAACGAACAGAGTTTACTGTAAGTTAGATACAGATATCTAGGTAATTATTCAATTCTGTCAACAGTGGAATTTGAACTTTAAATCTCTTGTATAGTGGTCTGACAACCTATTCACTATACTAAATTACCAGACCTTGATAGACTAATTTGAATAATCTAATTATTATTAGATATATCTTAATAAACTTTATAATTTTCAATTAATCAACTTAAACTATTAAATTAATATCAAAAAAGTTTTAAATAAATATATGCTTTATTCACACTCTTCCCGTAGATCATTTTGACCAAATTCAGAGCTAAGAGAAAACCAAGTTAACTCGGAAAACTCATTAAGAAACAGTACTTAGAATACTAAGCAAAAAGAAAGAAG